GGTCCACATGGCCCTTTCCAACAATGACAGTATTGCGTAGTCTTCCGACTCACTGTCTTGCCCTTGTGACCTTATGCGACTCGCCAGTCCTCCACTTAGGGATATCAGAAGCATCTAGGTAGCTAAACCATCTAGCCAGGTCCCTTGGTTTTCTTTTGAACACCATCGATACCTGATATGGGAGACTGGAGGTGATTAGCCAAAAAGCTGTTTTGTTTAATTTACTATTGCAGAGTCAGCAAAGAAGCTGCTAAAATAAAATATGAACTTTGGTGGGATTGATACTGAGAGTGTTCTAATTTGTCTTCCTTCTTCTTCTCCCAACCTCCCCAACACACGCACAACACACACACACACACACACACACACACACTCAGAGGCACACTTGGAATTTGCTTGGTTAGAAAAGCTAAGTCTCTGGAGTTCGAAGTAGCTTTCATCATTGAGGACAAGGTTAAACTGGATATGCTAGTGGCTTCCCCTGAGATAGCCTGAATTTCCTTCAGTCAAATATCTCTTCCTTCAAATTTATGCTTTTCTTGGTGGAAAAAGAGAGAGCACAAGAGGCAAGGTCCATGCCTGATAGGCAAGAATCTCCAGGATGCATTGGTCAGGCTGGGGGAGGCCTTCTGCCTTCTGCAGATGTCTTGGAACCTTGCCAGGTCATGCCTACTGTCGCTGCACTCTGAAGGGTAGACGTGGGTGCAGACAGGCCTGTGCCATGGCGGAGACGGGGCTGGGGTTTCTCCTGATGGGACTTACCTGGAGCAATCAGCTCCACAAAAGCCAGCAGCTAACGTGCATTCCCAGAGCGAGGGCAATCATGATGGAATGAAGATCTGGAATTCTGACACTTTTTTCCAAAAGTGAAGTGTATTTTTCGACCACTTGTTTATCACTCACAAGGCATATGTTTTCCTCTTCACACCCCGAGTCATTTCTCTCAACGATCTGCTCCATGTGGCTCAAACACTGACTTGGTCGTCTGTCGCCTTGGTGTCACTCACTGAAACGGAACTTGTAACTGCTCATTTCACAAGTTTGTAAGACGGAGAAGTGCACCGCTGTTGCTGGCTTGCAACAGACATTCATACGCACCTTCCGAGGGTGAGGAAGAAAGCAAGCTAGCGATGGTGCCCCAACTCTGTTATTTTCTGTCTTCAATCATTTGTTGAAAATCACCCAATAACAGAACCTGACAACTCACCAAGTGATCTTACGCAAGCCTCTTCATTCTAAGTGCTTCTCATCTGTAAAGCAAAGGAAATAACATTGCGCTTGCCTACCTCAGAGTGTTGCTGCAAGGACCAAATGAGCTCGTGCATGTGAACCTGTGACAAACAAGAGAAAATATCTTACAGATATTGCCCTAATGATTCATGTGAATGAGAGGGTTTGTTTGGCGTGGCTGTGTGTGTGTGTACTTAAGTTTGTTCTGAACTGAACAAACCCGAGTAGCTACAGACCTTCCCTTACAAGCATCTGCCCTTAAAGCTGTGCTAATTATGTTTGAACTATGCAAAATGATAAACTCTAGAGAACGGAAATTCCTCCCCAAACCGAAAATTTGCATCTGACACTGGTAGATGCCTTGTGGCCACTGAGACCTTGTTGCTTCTAAAGAAGAGCGTGTTCTTGGCTTGTCACACCGCGGCTGTGGTGGGTCCTTTGGTCTTGGATCTGAGCTCTGGCCTAACCCACCAGTTCACAGGCAGGTGCTGGGTCCCAGCAGAGACTGCGCTGTTGAGGGCTGTTTAGGGGGGAATAAAATAAAATGAAGCTCTTAACACAGAATGTCATTTTGCTGTCCTTAATGTATGCCGGTCCTGTATTCCTTTTTTTTTTTTTTGGTACAGGGTAGGGGTACCATTTTCTTTCGTTGGTACTAAGGCCATTCTTAGTATAATCCTTATATTTTCTATCAGACACTTTCAAAATAAAGAAATAAATTAAATAGTTAATACCCCTCCCCTCCCACCCCCCACTATTCCTCGCCACGCCTTTTGCTTGGCGAGTCAATCATGGCCCCGAGCCGCCTCCGCGTGCCCAGCATGCCCTGCTGAACGTCACCCCGCCAGTGCCTTCAGCTGTGTACTTCTCACGATGGGCGCGATTCATCCTCCAGATCCCCGCCGCACGCTTTCCTCCAGGAAATCTTCCCCCTCGCTGTGGCTTTGTGCGCAGTGAAGACACTCGGTGTCAAGGCAGAATGGCTGGCTCTGGCCGCAGAGGCGGTGGCGGCAGCCTGGCAGTGTCCAGATGCCACGCACGAGCGGCAGCCTTGTGAGTTATTGGCCCTCCCATAGCGTGTTGCTTCTGAGGTGACACTTCGTAAATGTCACCTCATTTATCTTCCTGATGCCCCTCAGAAGCAGGGAATCCCATGAAGCCCACCGAGGAAGAATCGGTGGCTCTTAAGCGGCCATCCCGCTGGGTGGTCCCTGGGCAGCAAGGAGGGAGCCTGTCGAGAGGTTTCACGTTCTCCCTGGTTTTGCACCTTCAGAACCACGGCCTGTGGTTGCCACCAGCATGAGTCATTCCACAGACCTGCAGTGCTCCCTGTGCTGGGCCTGGGGACACTGACCTCAGGGCCAGTGTCCGCGCCATCAGGGAACCCCACAGGAGCCAGAGAACAGGGGAGAGGACAGCCACGGGGGTGGCACAGAAAGCTTCCTGGAACTAGCTCAGAAAGGATGAGGAGGAGTCAGCAAGGGAGGAAGAAGGAGGAGGGGAGGGGAAGGCGGTTTAAGGGGACGCTGGGAGCTGGCGAGGGCAGAAGTGAGGCTACATCAGGAGCCAGAGGCCACATCCCGGAGGGCCTTCATCTTCTGTCACGCCGAGGACTTTGGACTTGGTCCTGGAGTGGAAGGAGCTCTAGTTTCAAGGTCAGGTGGCCAGGCTCCTTCACCGCCTCCCCTCCAGCTCTCCCCCTGCACCGAAAAAACCCCGTGAAATACATCAACACTGCTTTTCTAGCACAATTACTTAAAAGGCCTGACACTGTAATCTTTTGATGTACGGATGAACGAATGAACGATTTCTCTTAGACTGTCTTGATGTGAATGGTCACAGCATTTAACTGGGTAGCTGGTTTCATACTCCTCAGAAGCGGGGCAGGAAAGGCCCCTTCACCCAAAGCAGAACGGAAAGAACTCCCCACGTCCCTGGGCGAGGGCCTGGGCTGCGAGGCTTCCTTGCCCGTGCAGCGGGAGGCTAAAGCCGTGTGTCACCGTCCCGGCTCGGGGCACTTCATGAATCAGGGACGGTGGTCTTCCTCGGCAGGGCAGAGCGGTTTTCGCTGAAGCAAGTACGAAACCGAGAGACAGACGGATGGGGAGGACAGAAAGGACAGAGAGGGGGCCGGGTTGCCAGAGCCGCGCCTTTCCCAGGCGTGTTTACGATGTAGGCGCAGGGCTTTGGGGGATCGGGTCATTCACAGGGAAGACCAGAGAAAACGTGTACCGCGCATAGGATGCGAAGGGAGGGGAAAGGCCCACTGCTTTGGCGGCAATGTTGTTGCCTCCGTGTCCTCTACGTCCTCTGCGTCGCGCGCCACAGGCTCTGCACCAGCCGGAGTCCCAGCCCTTCTCGACAGACCTGCCACAGCCAGCGGCTCGCCCTGCACCGAGTGCCGGCCTGGGCGCCCTCTGTTTCTCAGGGCTTTGCCGTCTTGCATGTCAAGCGCTTGCTAACCTAACTCGTCAGACTCTCCCGCCAGGATTTTCTGGATATTTCTGAACTTATTCCGATGATTTGGAACTGCCCGGAGTATCCTCTCAGATGTTTGTCTTCCACCGTGGGTCCTCAGTGGGCACTGGACCCAGAATCAGCCGGATGTTCCAAAGACTGGGGGAGGGGGCACATAGAGGACAGTCACTTTTGAATGTTAGGGACATCGGAAATAAATGTGCAGATTATTTCTAAGATTCCTTCCAGCCCCACCCCCAGGGCTGATTCCTCCACAGTATTCTCAGATTCAGAAGTTCCCCCGCAACCTCAAGCAAGCCTGAGTTTTTCTTGTCAATGTCCCGCATTCTGAGTATAAATACTGTCCGTCCTATGAGTTGGTGGCCAGTACTCTGTCCCACATCTGGCAGAAACAACATCTGAAGAGGTGGCTTCTGTTTGAAAATTTTTAGACAGTCTAAGAGGAAGCGCACTGTAACTTACGACATCCGAAAAGAAGATTGTCCTGGCAAACCAAGGCTTTTTATATCAAAAGCCAGAGTTCTTAGTCATTAGAGGGTTTCCGACTGATTTCATTTTGACTGGCGACTCTGTAGTCTTTGAACGGTTTTGCATGCGGCCTGGGGCCGGCCTCACTTCTAGACAGATGGGCCTGTGATTTGGGGGAATTCGGGCAGGCGGAGGCTGGCCCCAGTGCTCTTCCCCACCTGACTCTCCCAACCTGCCCCTACCTAAAACCCCACCTTTGCAGCTTCAGCCTGTAGTTTAAGGCTTTGACGACAAAGTTGCCGGACGTAGATATCCACCAACAAGGGGGAAAGAGCACGAATTAAAGAGATGAAGGTGCCGAAGAAAGACCTTGCCAACTCCGTTATTTCTCCCAGAGTCTGCCCTGTTAGGGTCATAGAATCAAAAACGTCCCAGTCTGAAAGATCTTAAGGACAAGCTAGTTAATCCACATTTTACATAAAGGGAAACTGAGGCCCAGAGCAGGGAGGCACATTGCCCAAGGACACTGCTGCTCAGGTGACAGCAGGTCTAAAACCCGGATGTCCTGACGCCCAGACAGAAGGGTGCCTTTCAGAGACAACAGGCACAGTTAGCAGCAATTTTCAGGGGGCCAAATCACTTTGAAATATGAAAACCGAAATGGCTGGAAAAATAGAGAAAATTTTCAAAATGGCTTTCTGACTCTGGGTAAACAGTAACCACATTTTTTTTGCCTGTTGGAGGCCTGGTTTTTAATCACTCCACAAGCAGTTTTCATTTCTGCAGTAAAATTGCTTGTGGTTCTATTTAATTTGTTTCTGCAGGAGCCAGCTTTGGCGAGGATCTCCAAGGAGCTGGCGGGCATTTTAGCACAGCACGCACAGCCAGTCAGTGAGAAACAGTTCCCGACGTGGAGGAAATTCCTCCAAACATTTCTCCATCAAGGTAAATAAGACTGTAAAGTTCCTATTGAGGATTAGTCTACACAACCTTGGATTCTAGTTTTGGGTCAACCGGGGCCAATTTAAATCCTTTGCATCTCCGGTGTTGGTTTAGAAAAGTGCTCCCACAGTTTTCTTTTTTAAATGTTGCCTAAATATTTATCTTGCACCCAGCCTCTTAAGCAAACAGGAACGAGCATCCCAAGCGTGGCAGGCGTAGCTCAGGAATCTAGGCCTTTTTTTTGCGCCGCAGACTTCCCCTGAGAGGTGGGCTTTGCGATCAGACCACCTGGGTCTGAGCCTCACCTGTAACCTTGAGTGAGCAAAGTTCTTCAACCCTCGGAGGCCCAGTTTCCTCCCTTTCCTACCTCACAAGGTTGTTGGGAGGACTCAGTGAAACACAGCTACGAAAGCTCCCACCGCAGAGCCTGACGCGACAAGGTTCTTTAATAAATTTCAGTTTCCCCTTCTGCTTTCTGGGAGAGCAGAAATGGTCTCACTTCCAGTTCTGAAGGTAGAATTTCCGAATAAGGCTCCTCTACAGTCCTGGAACAAAGCCGTCCTGCATTCCTTTCTTCCTCCTCCTCCTACCTCAGCCTCACTTTCTAACGACATTGGGAGGCCCATGAATGAGGGATGGGTGGAGCGGATGTGGGGGCCCCATGCCAGGGCCCTCACTCCCTAGGAGGCTACAGTGGGAGCAGATATTCCTATGTGCTTACCCGCAGGCACAGGAGAGGGTTAGTATAACAGACCACTCTGTTCACTGCTGTCGAGTGACAATAATATTAGCAGTAATATATAATGATAAAATTATATCAGATGATAACAACAGCAGCAACAGCACAATGATGATAACAGCACAGTGATGGTAGCATAACAAATATAGACAGTGCTTATGATGCCCCAGGCACTATTCTAAATATACATATACAAATACACGTATGTATGTGTGCTGCCCACACATGTACCACATATGTATGAGGTGGGTACCATTATCATCCTCACCTTATAGAGGCAGAAACTGAAGTACAAAAGATTAACTTATCCCAAATCACTCTGCTAACGTGTAGAAAACCCCATGAAACGCTACCTCTGTGTTGCTCCGGGAGTCTTGGCCAGAGCCCGTAGGTATGTTTATCAAGGAACATATCTTAGCTCAGGGTATAAGAAAGAATTAGAAAGGACAGATCTGTTGGTTGTTCGAATACACCGTAGTTGACACCCTGTTCATGAATTCTTTAACCAAGGGGTTGAATGGCAGCCATCTAGCAGGAATGCTGAAAAGGGGTTCTTCGGAGGGAGAGGACAGAGAGGGGGTTGTGCTACGTAACTTCTAATGTCCTCTGAACTCTACAGATTTCCACATGCTCCCACTGACAGAAAAGTCAAAGTGAGAAAGCCAACCCCCTGCTTAAATGGAAGAAAATAAAGTAGCTTCCATAAAAAGTGATGAAGAATAAGGGATTTTTACCAGCCTGAGCAAGAGCGAGACCCCGTCTCTATTAAAAATAGAAAAATTAGCCAGGCGTGGTGGTGCATGCCTGTAATCCCAGCTATTCAGGAGGCTGAGGCAGGAGGATTGCTTGAGCCCAGGAGTTTGAGGTTGCTGTGAGCTAGGCTTATGCCACGGCACTCTAGCCCCAGTGACAGAATGAGACTCTGTCTCTAATAAAAATAAGGGATTTTTTTAAGTCAGGAGGGAAGACCCTGAAGATCTCCAGGTTCATCCAGGACAGCGTCTTAGGAAGAGTCCAGATCTTCCAGGGTCAGCCTGCGAAGCCTTCCTGTAAACAATTTCTTTCCATCTGAGTTTTGTAGATTAAAAAGGCCTCTTCCCAGCCACTGTCTTACCTGCTCTAAGGCTTCAACCCTACCTGCTGCTCATCTTTATCCTTTTTCTCAGCCATGTTGTAAGCACCATGCTTATTTAAGGGAGGCAGAACCCAATTTTATAGATAAAGAAACTGAAGCTCACTTGGAGAGAGGAAGTGACTTGGGCAAAATCACACAACAAATGAGTGGTGCATGGGAACCCAAAGTTAGATCCTGAAACTTTAGCACATTGAAACACCTGGTTCTTGGCTGGTCATGGTGGCTCACACCTGTAATCCCAGCACTCTGGGAGGCTGAGGCAGGAGGATCACTTGAGGTCAGGAGTTCGAGACCAGCCTGAGCAAGAGTGAGACCCCGTCTTTACCAAAAATAGAAAAATTAACCAGGTATGATGGCACATGCCTGTAGTCCCAGCTACTTGGGAGGCTGAGTCAGGAGAATTGCTTGAGCCCAGGAGTTTTAGGCTGCAGTGAGCTACGATCACGCCACTTGCATTCTAACCTCGGAGACAGAGAGAGACTCTGTCTCAAAAAAAAAGACAAAAAAAAACAAACAAACCTGGTTCTTATAAGTCTTGCGTTTTCAAATCTTCTGCCTGGGTCTGAGCCCAGTGCATACAGCCGGCCCTGCATTAATGTTCCCTGCTAGACCAGGTATGCCCCAGGTTTCCTGACCCTAAGGTCACCAGCTTCCACTATTACCTGTTTCATTCCATTCCTGCTCTCTCAAGTGTGCTTATGGCCACAAAATGTGCTTACGATTTTATTTCTAAATTGTCATAGGATTATATCAAAGGCAATATATTTTTTTAGAAGAGGAATTAATTGCTTTGAAATGAAAAAATTAACAGTGAAAAGGTTACGGCCATGATGCAGAGAAGACCACAAATAAGCCATTTCGAGATAGACTATCTAAAGTAATCTCGTAAGTTATGAAAGGTAGAAGGGTAATGTGTTTCCACTGAAGCAATATCTTTCAACACATAGGTGACAGATAAAGCCGTAAAATTAACTAAATCAGAGACTCACTAGGGTTTTTGTTTTTGTGTATTTTGTTGTTTTTTGTTGCATTTACCTTTCTAAATCCCCAAAAACTGGTAGTTCGGTACAGCACACACTGCTAGGCCCCATTTGAAGAAAAGAACATCTTGAGCCAACCAAATAGATAAGTTGGGGGTTGAATGTATACTCTCTAAAACCAGTGTTTCTTCTGAATCTTGGTGTTTATTAGGGCTACCTCTGATCAAATTTATAGACATTTAAGGAAAGTTCCTTTTGTATGAAGTAACAGATGACTGCATTTGAGAATTGCTAAAATCTCAGGACTTAACCACGTATGCTGTTCAAAGTCTGTGGTTATACCTATGGGCAGAGGTCCCCCAGCCCCAGCAACTTTGTGAAATACAGGCCAAGTTTATCTTAATGCTGTCAGGTCCTAGAGGCCACGCTGTCTAGGGAACACTGAGTTGTTTTTACTTTTAAATTAAGATATCTAACTCTTTACAAGTAACAACTTTTTTTTTCCTACAAAAGGGTTATACACAGTAAGATTTGTAAGTTAGGCCTAAAAACAGAAGATCGGGGCTATGTGATTTTCGTGGACACCACTGAGCTTGCCGCAAAATCAGTCAGTAAAATATCGTCGCTGTGGTCAAGCAACAGATTGCCTGTGTGGTTGTTGGCATTCAGAGCAAAAGGCAAAGGATAATAAATTATACGGCTCTCGTTGTCAGCAAGGAGAAAGCATAACTGTTCCTCAAAAATGCCAGCGTCTCCTGGCTGTTGTATTTTTAAAAATGTTTTACAACTGGCTTTTACATAGGAGTCCTTTGGCTGTGATGATGGCCAGTGTTCTCTCTGCCTGCTAAAAGCCCAAACCTATCAAACCTTCGAAAAGCAGCGAAGTTGACCAGAAAGAGCACATTGATCATCAGGGTACAAACTGTGGACTCTGGGCAGTTAATTCTCCCTGAGGGATTTGACTGTAATTCTTGGGTTCGTTGTTTACGTAACGAATGGGCATAGGGTCCATGATCTTCACAGTGTCTTTCTAATTATGATCAGAATCAAAACTACCATGCATTGAGCCCTACTTACGTGCCCAGCATTGGGCTAAATACTATAGATACGGAATCTCTAAGATTCACAACTATCTGGTGTGGTAGTTTTATTATGCCCACATTACAGATGAAGCAAAATAAGTTCAGAGAATTTCAGCTATTTGCCCAAAGTCTCCCAGGACAAGGCAGATGTGGAATCTGAGCCCAAGTCCGCCAAAGCCTGGGCTCTGTCTTCCTGCTCTAGATGGGCACAGTCCCTGAAACACGTCCGTTCTCCTACTCCATGCTTTTCCCACCAGGGGGCGTGATCGAAGCGTTCCCACCGACAGACAATGTCACCAACCTGACGGTAGACATGCTGATAGAGCCCAACGGAGAAATCAGTGTGCTGTCCACGGGGGACCAGTTTCACGCCGAAGGCCCCTTCATCTCCTCCGGTACCACCGTGCCTCAGACCTCAGTGAATCCCGAAGTTCTCAGTTATTTGTGCCTCCAAATCGGAAAGGCCTGCAAAATGAGAGATGTCGTTGGTTACTTTTCTATAGATCTTGTGACTTTTATTGATCCAAGCAGCTTGGAACAGCAGGTAAGTCAAATAGATGTCACACGAAATATTAAAATATGTAATGACGCCATACCCTACACACCAACGCAACGGGGAGTATGAGGGAGCTTCTAAAATTCATGGCTACTCTGACGAGCTGACTCTGAATTCAGCATCTACATGGTCCACGCCAATCCGTGAGACCAGGCTTTCTATCTGGAAGTACGGGGCCAGGGTCATCTTGTTCAGGTACAATCGGAGTTTAGCTCTGTTGACTGGGCCCTCGGTTCTGTCCACTGGTGCTATGCCCGTGTATCGTGAGACTATTTTATGCCATCCAGGGATTGAGCTTGTCTAAAGCCTGTTCTTAAATAGAAAATCAATCACTGGATAGGAGTTGGGAGCTCTTGTTTCTGTTGTTTCTATTCTTAGTAGCAGTTCACCAGCAACTTAGATTGTCAATCTTTTTTTTAAAAAAATGTATTGGGAAATACTTCAGAAATATAAAAAGGTCTAAATAATAATATAATCAATATCATGTGGCCCCACCTAGCTTAAGAAATAAAGTGACGTAGGTACCACCTCCAGTCCTGCGTACTCCTTGCCAAACACACGGCCCCTCCTCCTGGGGGACAGGAGGAAGCTACTGTCTTATATTTAGGGTTTTGATTCCCAATTCCTTTCTATATCGTTACACTTTTACCACACATGGATATATCCAGAAATAACATATGGTTTTATCTGGCATGTTTTCATGCCAATGTAGATTGTAACATTCTATATACCATTATTGTCCAGTGTGCTTTTAGTTATTAAATACTGCATCGTGGGCTTCTTCGTGTGCATGTGTGTGGCTCTGATGTATAATATTCCGGATAAATAATTTTTAGCCTTTTTTGCTTTGCCTTTTTTTCCCCCAAAATTATAATGTTTAAATTCACTACCTATTTCACAGGACTCATTTTTAAAAATGTTCAGTGACCCCCGCCTCAGTGCCGGGCGTCCAGACCTCGGTCTGGAGGGCGAGGTGTCCCCGGGCCCTCGCTCCGTAGCTGCTGGCCGCCGAGCGCTGCGAAGTACTCTAGCTGTTCTGTATCCATTCTTCTCAGCCTCACGGTTCTCCATTTCAGTCAGATGATGGTTTCAAAGTGCGAGTTTATGTTTTTGGCAGTTTTCAGCTTGTTCGGTAATCATTTTCCACGTGCCTTCCCCAGCCCTCCGTTGGTTTCACGTTCTGTTCTCAGGCCGCCACGTCGAGAGGGAGAAGGACAAACTGAAGGACATTCAGACATCTGCCTGGGGGCGACGGAGAACAGAAACAACGTGCCCTGGGGAAAGCCGGGTGGCAGGGAAGCGGGGGGAGGAGACAGGGGACACTGCCCTCCTCAGATATTTGTCATGAGAAAGGAGGGTTGAATCTGGGGTCCCGGGGCAGTAGGGAGCGTGGAGCTACGGGAACAGGTGACCTGTGGCTTGGTGCAGGGAGACGTGCACACAGCCGCGAGAGGGATCTTCTCCAAACACCATGTTGTCTTGCCCTGGGCTTGCCATGCTTCCAGGCTTCTGAGAGAAAGACCCCACCCTTCACTTGGCTGGTCCCATGTACCTGGCCAGCCTTGTGTCACCCTAACTCTGCTCTTTTTCTCCTTTGTCCATCCACACACACAGCCTCTCTCAGTCCCTCTTACTCATCACACTACCCTCTGCCACAGGGCCTTGGCACATGCTGCCCCTCCTCCTGAAGGGCCCTTGCCTCATCTTTTGACCTAGTTAACCCCCTTCCCATGCATCGTATTTCAGCTCAAGCCACACTTATTAAAGCCTTTCCCATCCTTCCTGAAAGAGTCAAATTCTCCTGTTGCAGCTTCTCGTAGCATCGTGTAGCTCTCCCTCATACCACTTATCTCAGGTGCAATTTCAAACTTATTTATGTGAGTGTCCGATTGATATCTATCTCCCCATAGACTGTGAGCTCCCAGAGGAGATGTGCCCTGTCTCTTTCTGCTCTCCACTGTATTCTCAGCACTTACCTCTGCCCTGGCACAAAGCAGGTGCTCAGTAGATATTTATTGAATGAATGAATGAGCAATAGAGGTTTTTAGCACATGCTGGATGGTGTCATGAAGGCTTTTAGAGAAGGAGCTCCGACATTCGTTGTGTGAGTGGGACTGATAGATATTAACCCAATATTCTCTGATTTTATCATACTACGAGTTCTCCTTGTCCTTTCCCATTGATAATTGAGTATATAGTCACTTGTGTTACAATTATCAATAGAACATTGAAGGAAGTTCTCAGTGACCACGCCAAAGGGTGTTGCTATATTAGCAAAGGAAATATTTCTGTTCTCTGTGTATAATAGATGATTTGCCAATCACTGGCATATTCTCTAGCCATCTTGTAAGTGATATCGCTTCAGAAAGCACCTTAATATCTTTTCTAATTGAAACACCTTGCGATGCCAGTGAAGAGACTGGCAGGCATATTACCAACCTCTTATTTTTGCCAGTCTAACAGATAAAAATGTTATTTTGTTTTACTCAGTATTTCTTTATTAGTGATGATGAACATTTCTTTATATGTTTGTTGGCCCATTTATATATCTTTTCTTACTTGTCTGATCATGTCTTTTGCCCCCTTTAAATTGGACTATAATGCAAATGTTGATTTGTAGGAGCTCTTTGTATATGAGGAACTCCTGTTCTTTCAATATTGTAAATGTTGCAAATACCTTCTCTCAGATTATTTGTGACCTTTCTCTCTTTTTTTAAGCCATGTTTCTCCACAATAAAATCACTATTTCTTCCTTTGTAATTGATTAGTAATATTTCGTAGACAGGTGCTTAAAGTGCCCCAATATCTTATTCCTCATCAAATCCCACCCACAAAGTTTATCATACATTACTGACTTTTTCCTGAATCAACTACCACTACGATAGTGATAATTTTCTATTTCTATCATTTTTTTCTACATTTGTTAGTTGTCAGTCTACTGCAAGGAAGAATTTTTACTTCTCCACCTTTCATTTATGTATATATGTATGCCTGTATTTGCATCAGTATGAACTCATGGGTTTCGATTTTATTTAATGGGTTGTATTTTGATACTTTCATATTTTGATGCTTAAATTGTCCCAGATTTGGCCAGTTGGAGACCCTGCAGGGTGGTTCTTGTGTTCTTTTCATATGTTTTTTTCATTCTTTGAGCATTGTCTTACTTTCTGGCACAATAAGATGTTCCAAGTTTATTTTCTATTTTCCATACCCCAGACCTAGGATCAACTGAGAAGCTTTGGTTCCTTTAGCAGAGGAGGATATTAAAGTCTGGGCTGTTAGTGCTCTCATGCTGCGGGGGTGTCATTGCTCCTGGAACCTCTCAGGGGACAGAGCTAGGAAATGCATGTGTTATATGTGTGTAATACATATGCACAATTATATACATACATATACACACACAAGCACATATATACATATACATACATGTATGCAACTATAACTATTTCTGTATCTATCAGTGTGTGTGCGTTTCTGTGTGTGTGTGTGTGTGTGTGTGTGTGTGTGTGTGTGTGTATTTATTTATTTATTTTGAGATAGGGTCTCTCTCTGTCACCCAGGCTGGAGTGCAGTGACACTAACATAGCTCCCTGCAGCCTTGAACTCCTGGGCTCAAGTGATCCTCCTGTATCAGTGTATATATTTTAAAACCATGAGTTCCTGCCAATATCTCCAATTGCAAACCAACACTCAAGATTCTTTCTAGATTTCTCCTTTTCCATGCTTAAAAATGAATATCCCAATCACACTGATTTTGGGGCACAATTACAATCTATATTCATTGTGTACATGTATCAAAATATCACAAATATCCCCAAAATATGTGCAACTATTATATATCAATTTAAAAAATACAAAGAAAACCCCAACCTCATGCTGTTGTTTTAATTAACAAAGGAAAAAAAAGCTAAATAGAGCCTGACACACAGTAACTATGTATATTTGCAAAAGAAAAACCCGTGGGGTTGGGATCAATATATCTAGAGCAGGGGCTGGTAAACTGTGGTTCACAGGCCAAATCTGTGAACCATCCATTTTATGTAAATAAAGTTTTATTGGAACTCTAAAAAAAAAAAGCCTTCTCCAACAGTGAGAAATTGTCTTTATCCCTCAATATATTTATTAATACTTATCTGCCCCATCGATTTACTTATTTGGCCAACGTGACCAGTCTCCACCCACTCCTGCCACCTCCTTTGCCTGCCACGTCCGTGCCCCGCCCCCACGTGCCTTATGTGCTTGGATACCAAACCCTGTCATCTGGGCATGAAGCTCTTCATCGTACTAAAGTTTCATATAGTAAAATCTAGCTCTTTTTTCTAGGTTGTTGTATTACCTTGAGCTTATAGCTTTCTCTCCACTTTAGTTTTCTAAGCTGTAAAATGAGGAGGTGAGCTTACTTGACTTATGAGGGAACTTCCAGTTCAAAAAATTATTGATTTCTAGAACATTTTTATGGTACTTATTTTCTGTATCAGCAAATTCAAAATTTAATAGTAATAAGAAGAGGAATTCACTTTTTAAAAATTATCACCAGGAAATAATCACAAAGATTTATATACTCATATTAATCACTAGATTATTAAGAAGAGCAAAACATTTCAAATAGTCTAAATTCTAATAACAGAGAATTTTTAAGCAAATTATGATAGATCAATGGAATTGAATACTACAAAGACATTTAAACTAGTATTTTTGAAGAATATTTAATAGCAAACTCTATGGAATAGCAGAAGGGTAAAAAGCAGATCACAAACAATATATGCAATATGATGATAATTTTATAAAAAGAAAAAAAACATACAAACACAGAGCAAAAAGGATCTAAATATATACACTAAGATGTTGCAAGTCATTATTTCTGGATGGGAAGACTGAGGGTGTGGTAGTCAGAAAATTGGTCGCCCAGAGTTGTCCGCACTCTAATCCCCAAAATCTGTGACGTTACCTTACATGGGAAAAGGACTTTGCGATTAAGTCCTTAATCA